TTACATTTGAAATGTATAAGATAAAAAAGCAAAGTAAGAATTGCTTTTTGCGCGGATGAAAATGCTAAATCATCCTCCATTATTTAGTGAATAGTGGAGCATGCCCCCACCATTCATGCGAATAGTGGAGGCATGCTCCACTGTTCCGATCGGATCTGATTCGATCCAAAGCTTAAAATATATTGAACGGGGTTTGATCTAGTAAAATAAAAAAGTATTTTTATTTTTTAATTGGATTTTATTTAAAAAATTAGTATTTAACATTATTCAATAACAGTACATATAACGAAAAATACTTGAACACATAACATTTGTAAAATTTGATATCAATCCCAAATTATAGATAGTTTAATAGAAGAATAAGAAATATTTTATATAATATATTATTTATTTCATAATGTAATAGCAATAGTTAAATCTATAATATTTAAATTAAAAAAATATTAATATTAATATATATTTTTAAAAATTATTTTATAACCTCAATTTTAATATCATTTTTAACTAAATATATTAAACTATTTTTTGTTTAACTTCAATTTCAACCATAATTTTAACCAATTATATATAAATATCAACTTAACCTTAATTAAAAATATTTTTTATAAGATAAGATATTTCTTAGTTACTCATTTCTTAGAAAAGATTTCTTAGGTTTGTTTTTTCCCCTCTTTGGGAAAAACTGGGATCCATGATTCCTAGAATAGAAATATTGTTGGAGTAACAGTGTATGAAAAGGAATGCAAGATATCTTGGAGACGAGGGAGGCTGCAGAAGCAGATTCAACGTGCTGCCCCATAAAGCCCTTTGGGTCTTCCTCAAGCCTAACACAATCGGCAGGGGCTAGATAGCTTATTTCCTGAATTGCTAAGCTCGTCATTGTTTTTTTAATCACATAAACCAAATTGTGATCATTTGGATTTTTCTGGATTAATAATAAACTTTTTTTTTATAAAGTTTTAAGTTAGAGTCTTGTGTATAATCCCAATCATTATTGGAAGAATTTTATCTTTTAATGAACCCAATCTGGCTCCTTCAAATTAGTCAAATTTACAACTTGTTTAACGGTATAGTGATTTTTAAATATTTTTTTGTGTCGAAATACATATTAATTATATTTTTTATTTTTAAAAAATTATTTTTAATATCATTATATCAAAACAATCTAAAATATACAAAATATATTAAATTTTAATAAAAAGTAAATTATTTTTTTTGAATTTGTTAAGAATACAGTTTGTGCACCGTATTCTCTAACCTATTTTTAGTAATTTTTTTAAATACTCTAGAAAAAAAAAAATATTAAATTGCATAACTCTTTTTAATTTCACTGTTTCAAGGACGAAAACATGATTTATATCACACAAAGAATTTCTAATCTTGAGTTCCATAAGCTAGTTCGCAGTGCAATCAATTTCAAATCAAAATCAAGAAAATTTTATAATTTTAAAGCTGTAATTACAGGATGCTTTCACTGATTGAGCTTGGTTGATTGGGACGTCTGAAGGGCTTGGAAAGCTAACCTGCAAGTGGGCAAATGCTTTGTCTTTGCCAAAGATAACCTTCAATACGTAACCATACAATTAAGCTCAGAGAGATTGGCATATGATCTAGCATTCAGTCCATCAATCAACATTTCCAAGCTAGTTGGCTTCCACTTTTTTTTTGTTTTTTCATAATTAAGAAAAATTCTATTCTGGAACTTGTACAAAATGTTTCACTTCATCCTTCTACCTAGTTTGATAAAAAAAAAAAAGATTCAAAAGAATTAGAATTATATTTAATATAAAAATAAAATAAAATAAGATAGTAAGAGATGTGATTAAAAAGAAAACAATTATAAAAAGAATTCAAAATAAATAAAGACCAATAAAAAAAATAAAGACCAAAATTAAAAAAAGAACAAATAAAAGGACCACTTTTAATGTTTAGCTAACAAGTTGAGATGAGAAAAAAGAGAGGAAAAAAAAAAAAAAAACACTTCAAAACTGCTTGATTGCTGTAATTTTCACCACGCGAGCCACTCCATCTATTGAACGCTTCAAATGACATGGCAATTGGGTCTTTTTGACTACCATATGACGTGCATGTATTGCTCATTTATTGTGCATGTATCAATTATTTTTTAATTATTAAAAAACTGATTTGCTCCTATTTCAAATAAATTATAACGAATTAATTATTATAAAAATACAAAAATAATCTTGTACTCCTAATAAAACAAGTGAGTTGCATATAATAAAACAAGTGAGTTGTATATTATTTTTGAGTGGTTTGTGTGACCGACTATAGTTATCATTAATGATTTTTTTATGTTATTGAATTTATTTTGTTAAATTTTTTAAATTATTTTGATAATGTTATAATTAAAATTTTAATATACTTTGAAGTATTTTTTTTCTCTTCACAAGTTATAATGAAAAAAAATAAAAAACCATGTAGATATACTAAAATTCTAATAACAACATTATTAATACCATAAAAAATGTTAGACCATACAATGAATGAAACAACATTAATAAATGTCACCACTAATGAATTAGACATCATTTGGAAATATGATGCAAAGTGTGTTCTATGAAAATTTACTTTTTATTTAAATTTACTTTTTTAAAATTTTTAAATTTTTTTAATATAATGATATCAATAATAATTTTAAAAAAATATAAAAATATTATTTTAATATATTTCTAAATAAAAAAATATTTTAAAAACAACTACTCCTATACTTCCAAACAACTTCTTAAAGTAAATCATTTAAATTGGAGATATGATCAATGATTTGCTAAATTATATTAAGTAATGCTCTAAAATGTGTGTTAAGTACTATTACTTTTCTCTTCTTTTTTTTTTTTGACTATAGTTATTATTAATGGTTTTTTTATGTTATTGAATTTATTTTGTTAAATTTTTTAAATTATTTTGATAATGTTATAATTAAAATTTTAATATACTTTGAAGTATTTTTTTTCTCTTCACAAGTTATAATGAAAAAAAATAAAAAACCATGTAGATATACTAAAATTCTAATAACAACATTATTAATACCATAAAAAATGTTAGACCATACAATGAATGAAACAACATTAATAAATGTCACCACTAATGAATTAGACATCATTTGGAAATATGATGCAAAGTGTGTTTTATGAAAATTTATTTTTTATTTAAATTTAATTTTTAAAAATTTTTAAAATTTTTTAATATAATGATATCAATAATAATTTTAAAAAAATATAAAAATATTATTTTAATATATTTCTAAATAAAAAATATTTTAAAAACAACTACTCCTATACTTCCAAACAACTTCTTAAAGTAAATCATTTAAATTGGAGATATGATCAATGATTTGCTAAATTATATTAAGTAATGCTCTAAAATGTGTGTTAAGTACTATTACTTTTCTCTTCTTTTTTTTTTTTTGTTTTTCCTTCATTTTTTTTCATTTCCCCTCTTTTTTTTTAGGTTTTACATGTTTGTTTTTTCTTTCTTTCTCAAGATTGTCTTTTTTTTTATTCTTTTTTGTTTTTGTGTTTTTTTAATTATTTTTATTGATTTTTTTAATATTGAACTGGTTGAAAATTTAGTTTATAATTCTTTTTAAAACATTATGGATTGTTACAATGTTTTTATGAAAATTTATTTTTTATTTAAATTTAATTTTTAAAAATTTTTAAAATTTTTTAATATAATGATATCAATAATAATTTTAAAAAAATATAAAAATATTATTTTAATATATTTCTAAATAAAAAATATTTTAAAAACAACTACTCCTATACTTCCAAACAACTTCTTAAAGTAAATCATTTAAATTGGAGATATGATCAATGATTTGCTAAATTATATTAAGTAATGCTCTAAAATGTGTGTTAAGTACTATTACTTTTCTCTTCTTTTTTTTTTTTGTTTTTCCTTCATTTTTTTTCATTTCCCCTCTTTTTTTTTAGGTTTTACATGTTTGTTTTTTCTTTCTTTCTCAAGATTGTCTTTTTTTTTATTCTTTTTTGTTTTTGTGTTTTTTTAATTATTTTTATTGATTTTTTTAATATTGAACTGGTTGAAAATTTAGTTTATAATTCTTTTTAAAACATTATGGATTGTTACAATGTTTTCATGCATATTTTTTTTATGATTTTTTTAAATAATTTTTATTGATTTTATTTTTTTATATTGAGTTGGTTGAGAATTTTACTTTATTGTTTTTTCTTTCAAATATCGTGGATTCCTACAATGTTTTTCTTCATATTTTTTTTTCAAAATTATCTTTGTCAATTTTTTTTATAATATTGAACTGATTGAGAATTTAACTTTAAATTTTCCCCACATGTTTTTTTCTCTATTTTTTTTCTTTTTGCTTTTTTTTTCCAAAATTGTCTTCTTCTTTTTGTGATTTTTTTTGTGTTTTTTTTCTAGAATTTTGTTGTTGATTTTTTTTGTTAATATTAAGTTGGTTGAGAATTTAGCTTCGTAATTTTTTCTTTAAAACACTATGGATTGTTACAGTATTTCCTCACATGATTTATTTCTGTTATGGTTTTTTTCAAAATTTTATTTCTTTATTTCTGTTATGGTTTTTTTCAAAATTATCTTTATCGATTTTATTATTTTTAACATTGAGCTATTTCAGAATTATAATTTTAGATTTCCTCATTAAACACTATAAATTGCTATAGTATTTTTCTACATAATTTTTTTTCCTTTTGTTTTTTGTTATTATTTTTTTAATTTTATTTTTTAATTGTTTTTCCTTTTGTTTTTTGTTATGATTTTTTTAAAATTATTTTTTTAATTTTATTTTTTAATATTAAATTAATTAAAATTTTAACTTTATAATTTTTTCTTTAAAAATATTATAGACTACAATAGTTTTTCCCGTATAATTTTTTTTTTTATAATTTTTTCTATAAATTTATAACAATATATAAACATGCCAGGAGACCTTGTAATCACGCGGACATTGGATCTGCCTATCTCTATATTTTGTGTATCCTATTATTTTCCGAATTTTGTTATGTGCTAAATTCCAAAAAAATAAATCTTGAACGTTGAATCTACACGTCTCTCTCCACCTTCTCCATGAAGATTTTCAGCCTCCCTTTTCACATGGTCCATGAAAATTTTCTCATTTTTTCTGCTGGTAAATTATATCATAGCCTGTGAAGTTTCTCGGGATTTTCGTTTTATGATTGGGTTATTTGATAAACTATGTTGTGGCATGGTTTGGTCAACTGATTGACAAAAACCCTTCGAGTTCAAAGTTTGCTGTTGGTTCTCCTTGTCTTGTAAAGCTTGCTTGGAACTTGTATAGTTCAATTCATTAGTACTTTTGGATTCGCAAGAGAGTTTGTGAGAGTGAAGAAAATGATGGAAGCTTTTCTTGCTTCAGTTCAGAAAAACATAAAATCTGAAGGAGAGGAAGTGAAATCTGCAATACTACATCTATTGAAGCTTATAGCGCTGGCTCTCCCCGGTTTAATTCTTGCTCACCCAAAAGTACAACTTGTCCCTAAAGCTACTTTCAAGCTCCTTAGCAAGCTTGTTTTTGCTTTGTTCTTGCCTTGCTTAATATTCACTCAGCTTGGTCCATCCATTACTCTCAAGGACATTGTTCAGTGGTGGTTCATTCCTGTAAATGTAATCATTAGTACTTCCATTGGTTGCATATTGGGTTGCTTGGTGGTGTTTATATGCCGGCCACCGAGGGAGTTTGTTCGGTTCACAATCATCATGACTGCTTTTGGCAACACTGGCAATATTCTACTGGCAGTAGTTGCATCAGTGTGTCACAGTTCTGATGCTCCTTTCGGTCCGGATTGTTATGGAAATGGTATTGCTTATGTATCCTTTTCTCAATGGGTTTCTGTTATTCTCGTTTACACACTTGTTTACCACGTGATGAAGCCCCCATTGGAGCAGTATGAGATTGTTGATGAAGAGATAGTGATTGAGTTAGTTCCTGCTGATCTCAGTGAGCCTCTCCTTGTAGAATCTGAGTTGACAGGAATAGAAGAAAAGGAAACTGAACATAGCAAGACGCCTTTGATTCCTAGGCTCTTCAATAGCGTCTCTGGCATTTCACAAACAAATTTTCCTGATCTTGAAGCAATAGAAGAGGGAAGAGAGGAGGGAGGTGAAAGTAGCTCCAAGTTCATTAGGTGCTTGGCGGAACCTAGGGTGGCTAGAAAGATTAGAGTTGTTTCTGAACAGACACCAATTCACCACATTCTTCAGCCTCCAACAGTTGCTTTTTTCTTAGCTATGGTTATTGGAGTGATCCCTGCTCTCAGACATATGGTTTATGGTGCCTATGCTCCTCTTGAAGTTATCACAGATAGTTTAGGTACGATGGCTGATGCCACAGTGCCTTCTGTCATGCTTATTCTTGGGGGAATGCTTGGTGAGGGTCCAAATGAATCGAAACTCGGGATTCGGACCACGATTGGCATTATTGTTGCAAGGCTGTTGGTGCTTCCTGTAATTGGAATTGGGGTCGTCTATTTGGCTGATAAATGGAATTTCTTAATTACCGGGGACCGATTGTACCAGTTTGTGCTTTTGCTGCAATACACTACACCTAGTGCCATTTTGTTGGGAGTTATTGCAAGCTTGAGAGGTTATGCAGTTAAGGAGGCTTCGGCACTCCTGTTCTGGCAGCATGTGTGCGCTGTGCTCTCTCTCTCGATATATATCATTGTCTACTTTAAACTGCTGTTTTCGTATATCTAAGGTTTTTCTTTAACCTTCATGTTTAAAGCTTCCCAGTTAAATATATAAATTTATGCACTGGGCATGAGTTTCTGATTAAGATGAACACAGAACCTTATTTGAGCATAAATGATTTGTGTAATTGGTAAAAGGATGTGTATGCTAATCAAACTGCATTTAATGAAACTTGCAAGATTCAGTAGGATAGGAAATGTCCATTTGCTTAGTCTGTTGGCATTAGCTCAAGTGGTACATGGAAATCTGAAGTTTGAACTATCAAATGAACATTAAAAAACGCATGGATCCGATCAACAAATTGCCAGCTTGAAAGTGTTAAACCCTGCCAGAACGTGTCATTGATTAGCAGTTCGTGTACCTGCGTTGTTTTTCTTTTTCTTATTTATTAGTCCACATTAGCTAAATGAAATCCTTCAACCATACCAGAGAGCATCTTACTAGAGGATACAACAGACTGGGATTTGTTTAGTTGCTGAACTGCACTTTCATTGCACTAGTTCCTTGCTGATAATCCCTGATACACCTAGTTAACTTACCTTGTTGAGGTCATTCCAAACCTGTAGAGTTCCTCGCATAGCAGAGGATGGTTGAGCTTCCAGTGCCAAAAGTATTATTCTCTTGATTCATTTAGAGATTTCAAATTTGAGACCAAGCTACCTGGAGTCATAGATAGGGATTAAGATGTTTAATATTACCCTACAACTCTAAAAGAACTGGGGTTTTTGCCACCGCCGCTGTGTTTGTCTTCATTTCTCTGTTTTTGTCTCTGGAAAGATCAGTAACCAGACATGTATCCCCTTTTTCATTATTTTTATCTTTATACCGATATGCTTTCTCTCCCCAAAACCACAAACATGCATCTGAGATTTAAAAAATGGCTCATCAATTATGCCTCTCTGAATATAATAAGAAAGAGAGGGGAAGAGAGAGTTGATAGGGTTTTATAAAGAGGTGAAAGTGGAAAGTTAGAAAGGGAGGGAGGTGACGACTAGTCGGACTATTAATTCCTCTGCTACTACTTACTCTCCCCTGTGCGAAACAGTTTCTTTCTTTCTTTTTTGCTCCTTTACTTTTCCTTTTCATTTGCTCTCTTTTCCCTTTCCTGTCTCTTGTTATAATTATGATGTCTCCCGTTTTATGTGAGGGTTGTGCTCTCTGGGGAGGGTGGATGGATCATGTGACATGTTTCAGTGTTGGGCTGGTAGGTGCTAAATTGCATCGCTGAGGTGAGTGAATTTTTTTTTTATGTTTTTTTATTTGTTTTTGTTCTTAGGATAACAATAGCTTTTCATTTTGGTTTTGTTTCCCAGGATTGATGAATAAAGATGCTTTACAAGATAAGTTTTATTCTCTGTTTATATGTTTTCCATCTTTTTTTTATCTGTTTACATTTAAGCATTTTTATGTGTGTTTTTTGATCAATTGACAGTAGAAATTGATCCAGTTGAAGTAAGGCAAATAACTAATATGATTGTAGGGTTGTGGGAAAGAATATCGTTGCTGAGCTTCCTACAGTGGGATTCCTTCTTGCTGCCTAGCTGATATCAATGCCCTTTCCGGAAAAAAGAAGAAAAAAAAAAAGAACAGGTTTTGGTGTAGTTGCACGAGAACAAAGACTGAAACTTTGGGGCATGCGTATAACTCCAGCTTATTGAAGTAGAGTTGTGCTAATTATGTTATTTTCAACATTCTTTTAGCTGTCATATTTGCAGATTCTGTTTAGAAAAAAGTTGCATGTAAGCTTTAGATCATGAACTTCCTATATATTCCCATAAGCACATATAATTACCTGAATAAGATCTAGGTTTGAAGAAGTCTATTAATTCCTTGACAGTCACCAAGTTTGCAGCTTTTAATTTTGTAATATCATTGTTTATATCATCAACTAACAAATGCCAACCTCATTTCAAACCATAACTTTTTTTATCCTCCATTTAATGTCATTAAAATGAATAAATATTTCTTGATATGGCACTGCACTGACGAAAAAAGAAGCTAAAGGCCATTATTTATTCTAGATTAGATTTTTGTTTTTTGAGAGTTCAATGTCAAACTTGATTCAAAATTTCAACTGGGGTTGTCTTCTTTGAATTTAAATGCACCTGCGTCACTTTTCAGGTGGATCATGTCCATGCGTTTAACAAAGACTGAATCCTTCCTTGCTTGGAATGATTGATTTGTAGCAACATGACCTTTCATTTGTATCTAGAAGAAATGATGAGCTAGCATTCATCACGATCATGACTGCATGACAATTTGAAATCTAAAACATTGATATAGTTGACACACGGATCCTAATAATTAAAATCTAAAATTAATTTTTCTGTTTTTGTTAGCATCATTAATAAATTTTAAATTGATGTGTGTTCTATCGACAAGTCAATTTTTTCTTTCTTTTTTGATTATGGGAAATAGTAGAGGGGTTTGACCTTGGATGCATACAGTTTCATCATAATGTTCAAATGAACGTCTATTAACTGATTCGACGCAATGGTTATGAAGAAGAATTCAATTAATCCTTTAAAAAGCAGAACCAAAAGCAAAGATGCTAGAGCATTACTACATGTAGTAAAGTTATTCCTTGAGCTGCAACTCCTTCTTTACTGTACAACCTCCTAGAAATGATAACATAGTTATTCTCAGTAAAAGTTTTATGGCTTTTCAAGTGAAGGTTTTATGCAAAGACAGAAATTCATGCTATCATGACGAAGATGGAAAGAATATTTTTGTGTCTTTTAGCCATGTTCAAATTTGAGATCTCCAATAATGATGCAGATGCGAGATAATAGAACTGGGAATGGATTGTTCATGTTGTGTCCACCTTGTTAGGTCAATTGGCGTTGTTTATTTTTAGTTTTGCAGTTACGAAACTGATTCTGTTTTCACACTGAATGTCATGCTGTCTGTATGAGAAATGAATCTATGCTTTCCTTTTACAATTGCAAGCATTTTTTCCAGGATGCTCTTTCTTTCTTTTTTTTGTTCTTTGGTCTGATTTGAATAGGTTATGATCCCCTTGGTTTTACCACTGTTGTCACAATCCTCGACTACAACGGCCTCATGCTATTGTAAATTACAGTTATTGTAAATGTTTCAGCTGAAATCAGATAGCCAACCGACATCCAAGAAAGGCAAATGCATAGACTGGTTTGTGCTTTTACCTACTGTTTTTAGGTGGCGGCCTGATCTATTTCCTTTTTTTCCATATAATTCCGTTTTATTCCTGCCTATTCATCAATTTCCTTTGATGTATGTGTCCCTTTCATAGCCACCAAGATCAAATAAGTGGTTTTAACAGTACAATGTAATTGCAATTGCTTTTTTCATCTGCAGTTGGTGGTTGGGATTATTGTTATGTGAGTGCTGGAGCTTATATGCCCTGAAAGATTACAAAGTCTGTGGATGCTGAACTGTTAAAAGGAAGTAACCAGATGAATTGGACATGGATGGCATCTATGCTCTTTTGTGTTATCATCCACAATTTTCCAGCAATATGGATATAGCACGTTCCATAAGATTAATTTGCTGTAGTATTACAATTATTGCTGGAGACTGAGTAGTGTGAACTTAATTTTTATTATGATTTCATTCCTTTCCTTTCCTTTAATCTTTGCTGGATTCTCCTTCTCAGTGATTTCCAAAACAATTTCTTGCATGTTTGCAGAGACACTCTGCAGTTTTGCAGGCCCTAGGTATGGATGAAGATGACATGCCAGAAATCAATGATGAAACCATTCTTGATGAAGAAGCCATGGCTAGGTAAGGTCAAATTTAACTTCTTATCTTTTACTGCATCCACCATTCTTTCATTATGTGCCCTTCATGCGGATCTTAACAATCATTTTTGTCTTCTTGAAAAATGTTCATATTTATGGTCCACTGGCTAGGAGCTGTCAAAGCATTTGAAGAGTTCAAGCTTTCTATCTATGGAGAGAATGATGATGAGGAAAGTGCCATTGGCATTGGAAAAGCAAACGATGCCGCCAAAAAAAAAAAAAAACAGTTGCTGAAAATGCAGCTAAGGAGTCTGAAAACTACAACTGGCCAGATCTGATTGATAATGGACATGATACTCGTGTTTCACCTCAGTAAGTTTCTCTTTAGCAAATTTTTAGAACTAGATTAAAGTTTAGGAGTTAACAAGTCTATTGAATGCGTTGAAGGCTGAATAAAACCTCACTGGTAGTCTAAGTTGAATTTTGAACTTTTATTCTTCCACAAATGTAAACTTTTAAGGGCTTGGTCATGTTCTTGCAAGCTCACGGTGACGCCAAGTATAGCTAAGCTGTTTCTTACGACGTGCAGATATCCAAATTGCATACCACTTGCTAGTTTTTTGTTGATTGCAAGATGTTAAAATAGGAGTGATCTATATTTGCTGGTCGAGTTCTACTCAAAACTTGGAAGATATGGAAAATAATATTTTGGTAGCTGGGCCCTTTGAGACTCACGGTGTTGTTAGCCATGGCATGAGAAAATGCAATACTGTAAGATAATAATAGGGTTTCCAGCTTATTTGGTTTCATTTAAGGAAGTGATCCTATGCTCTTATGATTGATATAAAAGTTTCAAGGAAATTAGGATCATCTCTATGCTGGCATAACCTCATTATTGAAATTTTCTTCTTTCCCCTCATTTATCCGACTCTTCAGTCCTCCTTTCAGTCAAGAGAAGAGGGAAAATACTATGAGGGGAAATCTGAATCATAACAAAGAAAGAAAGAGAATAAAAATAAGCACTTGGAAGTTGGAGAATTAATGATCTCTCACATCTTGAAACCACCTGATTACTCTGAGTTTGTTGAAGTTGATCCACCAAGAATATTTGCCAGAGTACTTCTTTCCTCTTCTATTCTCTCTGTTTGTGTGTTTCTTCTTTCAATTGTAAGCTTGATTTTGGGGTTTTATTTTGTTCTTGCACTACAATGATAGCCTTAGCAGGGAGCTTCAAAGACCTTGTATGAATCCCATTTATAAATTTTCTTTTCCCGTATGTTTGCCGCCTTAATTTTCTTTGCTTGAGTTTGATGGATGCTCATGTCTTGTTTTTGCGAAAGTTGGAATCTTTTGTAGTCTTTCTGTGGGTTCTTGATAATGGTTTGTTGATTGATTTAGGCAAGCATAGAGCAGTGAAGGGATTGAAGCTGCTAGGAACCAAGTCAGCCTCAGTTGTTTCTTGAAAACCCTGAAGATTTTGGAAGATTCTACTGTGAGTTTTTGGTAATGGTTTGCTGATTGTGACTGAAATGTTCACTTCTTGGACTTTAAGACAACAAGAATTTTTCAAACACTAATGATTCCATGGCCCATTCTTTACTTTTCTGCTGATTATGCTTTGTGTCTTTTGAATTGTTTGTAATCTTATGATTATATTCTCTTCGCTTTTCTGGTCTTTCATAGGTATAGACTAGAGCACAAAAGAGCTAACATTAGAGCTGTGAAGCATTGGTGCAGGCAGATCTTGAGAGGGATTCTTTACTTCCATAGCCACGACCCCCCTATTATCCAAAGAGGTCTGAATTGTCATGTTTTTGTGAATGGGAACCAAAGAGAAGTGAAGATTGGAGATCTTGGCCTAGGTGCACTTATTACATAATAGCATGCTTCTTACATAAAAATGTATCCTTTTTTTCCCCATCCTCTCTTCATGGATATTTTTCTACTACTAATCTTTTTTGTATGTCATTTCTCACCTATTTGTGATCAGTGATTCGCTTAATGACGATTGTGAACCCCCCGCAGCGAATCGAGGGGAAAGCCAGCTAGTTAGATTCCAAACTTTGTTGGTTGTTTGTGCACGGTATAATTAATATATTTAGGATTCCTTGCACATGTCTGAATTCTAGACCATGCTCAGATTTGACAGATGGAGGGTGTCTTTACAGGACATCATAGATAGTTGCTAAAAATGTTCCTGATTTATTCTGAATTGATTTGCACTTCAACATTTGAAGGTTCTTTTGGGATGCCTTGCATGTGTCAAGAGCATCTGAAGCTTTCAATATTAAAAAAATAGATAGATTCTTGTATGATCAAAGATATAATCACAGTTAGTGTAAAAATGCAGCTCAATCATTAGTTCCAAAAGTAATTTTATTAACTTTGCAAGTCAATGATTTCTTGAAAATCTCAGTTGAAGTTGTAACCCTGCAAGATTTTTCCTTTCCTTTTTCCCAGCACATGAAGACTTTTGAGCTTGACGGGAAAGTCAACAATTTAATCATCTAGACTTTCGAGGGCTAATTTCAGTCATAATTTGATCATACCAGATTTATCAACGGGATGATTCAATTGCTTTCTGCACTGTCTGCTATAACCTCCAGAACATAAATTCTTGCACGGCTAGGAAACCATTGGTAATGTGATGCTACTCTTACCTTATCCTTCCATATTTATCTAGGGCCTCTTGCTGTATTTACCACCATACATTTGTTGTAAGAACTTGTGCCCGCACAATGATAATGAACTTGATTTTTCTTCCTGTGTCCTTCACTTGAATTCACTTTTTCAGGATTAATTTTAATAATTAAATTGTAAAAGAATGCAATTGAAAATAAATAAATTGTACATGAGTATTTTTATATATTATTTCTATTTTTTCAATTCACATAAATTATATTAATTTTAATATATGTGTGTGATTCAATTTAAGTACATGGAGTATAAAATGATAGGTAGTCTTAAAGCTCTAAAGTTACTTTCAGTTTACTCAATTACCATAAAAAATATTTTGAGAGTTAGGGACCATAAAAATAATTGTAAATATTTTTAAATCATCTACCTCTAATGAAGTTGCCTGCACTTTAATAACACAAGTATGCAGACTAAATACTTGCTTAACATATTTGTAAAACAATATCATCTGATAATTATTATATTACAATTATAATTATATATATATATAAAAGACCTAAAAATGCAGTGGTTTCTCTATAATTTTTTTCAATGTGCAAGCTCTCAACTTTGGGTTACAATAGTGATCTTTTATTTGATTATCAAACTTTTTTAAAAAATTTTATTGTATTCTTACACACTACTATCAGAAAATTAGCAAAAACAAACAATAATATTAATGGAAAAATTTTGTTGCTATATTATGATGATCTTTACTGACAGAATTTTTCATCTTTGTATCTATCGGTAAACATCATTAGAAAAATTTTCTTGGTATATATCGAGGAAATAATAAAGGGTATTATAGTGGGATTTAAAAAGGCAAATCATATATTTTAATTTATAATCTAGTGATCGACCTTCTTCTTCCCTTCCCGCATTTCTTCTTTTTTCTTATGCATTTTTTTGTACAACAAACAACCACCCACTAATCTTGACACAATTCAACCTTTGATAACAAATTTGGTCACCATAATACTTAAATTGTCATCATTTGTGTTCTGATTCAAATTTTATTTTGGATTCTCTACTTTAAGTGAGTAAATCTACCTTTTTTTCTATTTTAACTTAATTTTAAAGTGTTTATTTTTTTGCATATTTTTTGTAGTATATATATTTTATTTGGGTGTTTACTTATTTTATAGTTTTTTCTCATACAAATTTATTGTATGGATTATTTGTACATGTTTGGGTTTATTTTTAATTTTTTAAAATTATATTTGTTTGTAAATTGATGAAACTTATATCGAATTTCTGACTTAGATGTTTTGTGATGAAATAAATAATGACTTATTTAATAAATCCATTTTATATTTGTCAATTTTATTGCCAAGTTGAAATTTTTTAAAGATGTGTAAAAATTTAAATTTATGTAGATAATTGATAATGAATTAAGAGTACTATTCAAATAGATTGAATAAGTTTGAGTTAAATCAATATTTTTACAAATTATTTAGTTAATGTAGTTAATTAATACATGTTGTCATCATTATTTTATATACATACGGAGAACCATATGTTCCTCATGATATCATGGTAGAAAGGATGGTTGGGTCAACTTCTGGTTTTAAAAACATGAATAAAGTTGTAGATGACAATAGTAATCCTTATAGGAATATGATTATAGATGCGATGAATGAATCAAAGTCATACTGGTTAATGTCCAATCATAAATGAAGAAATTAATGCATACATAGTGAAATTTTTAGATCTTTTGAAAGATTCTGACGAACCATTATGGGATGGAAGCACAAATCATAGTAAATTATTCGTCATTGCACTTGTGTTCAATAAATCATGGGTTGTGTAAGGCCGATTATGATAGAATTGTCAAATGAGTGAAGTATTTTATCTGAAGGGAACAGGCTGAATGAAAACTTCTATGCTACTAAGTCCATGATGAAACCTCCTAATCTAGGATACTAGAAAATTGACATGTGTCCAAACTTATGCATGTTATACTACTTTGAAAATGTAGGGTTGATCAAATATAGAACATATGAGCATTCTCGTTATAAACCCATAATTGGCAGGGAAAGAACTCTTGTCGCACATGAAAAACTTAGATATTACATAATTTCCACTTACATTTAGATTGCAGAGTTTATTTATGTCACCAAAGATTGATGAGCACATGACATGACACTAATTACATTATACGATGGATAGAGTGATGGTGCACTATTCTGATGGTGAAGCCTAGAACCACTTTAATAGTGTATATCCTTAATTTTTAGTAGAGACAAGGAACGTGTATCTTAGGTTATATATAAACAGATTCAATCTATTTAGGTTATTTTCCACTCTTTATTCTTGTTGGTCAGTGATACTTATGATTTACAACTTCCTACTAGGGACGTGTTGAAGTCGAAGTTTATGTTTTTATCTAAGATCATACTTAATTCTAATAGTCTAAGTTAGAATATAAATGTTTGCATTCGACTGTTAATTAATGAATTAAAACAATTGTGGTTATTTGAGGCTTTGACTAATGATATATTGAGGAAACAAAATTTTCTGATGAAAATTGTTTTGATGTAGACTATTAATGATTTTCTAGCTTATGAAATGGTTTATGATTAGAGCATGCATGTAAAACTAGCATGTCCATACTGTATGGAAGATAATAAGGCATTCACACTAATAAATAACAATAAAACATCTTTTCTTAACTGCCACCAATGGTTTTTGCCAATGAATCACAAGTTTAAAAAGAATAAATAGTATTTCTTTGTTGGCAGAGTTGAAAGGCATGTTGCACCGCCACTTCTTTTAGGTGAAGTTTTTGCCGATGAATCACAAGTTTAAAAAGAACAAATAGTATTTCTTTATTGGCAGAGTTGAAAGGCATGTTGCACAGCCACTTCTTTTAGGTGAAGAGTTGTATAGCGTGGTGTAGGAGTACAATGACATTGTGTTTAATTTTCAATCTAGTAAACATAAATTTTCAGGTTTTGGTTTGACCTACAATTAGATAAAACAAAGTATTTTATGGGAGCTTCTTTATTAGAAGACCAATCTTCTTTGCCATAACCTTAATATCATGTACATAGAAAAGAACGTGTCTAATAACATTTTCAACATGGTTATGGACGTGAAGGGAAAGATAAAAGACAACATCAAGGCTAGAATAGATATTATTTTATTTTGTCACCGTAAAAATATAGAGTTAGTTTATGTTGGGTAAAGCCTAAAGCCAGCTTCATATTAGATAAGAATGCACAATTATTTATTTACCAATAACTTAAAAGTCTATGTTTTTCTGATAAGCATGCCTAAAACATATCATGGTTGATGAATTTGAAGGATTGCAAATTATATGGAATGAAAAGTCATGACCACCACGTGTTTATACAAATACTCATTCTATTAGCTTACTAGGATTTATTACTAAAGAGGTATGAGATGTGCTCATAGAGATTAACTATTTTTGTTATAGATATATGCTCAAACAAGTTACAAACATAACATATGGAGAGACTTCAAATGATTTAGGCAATTTACAAACTAGAAATGATATTTCCTATATTGTTTTTAAGTTGATAAAGCATTTACCTATACATTTACCATTTAAGGCAAAAGTTGGAGGCCCAATCCAATATAGATGTATTTTTTCATTTAAGATAGGGTTTACACATGCATTGTAATTAAAAATTTATTGACTTTCTTCGCATGCTTCAAAACATTCATTTAATTTCATGCAGGTACTTGTTCAACCTTAATAGAAAAGTAAAAAACAAGGCACATGTTAAGGTTTCAATGTGTGAGGTCTATATTGTTGAAAAGATCTCAATATTTACCTTGTACTATTCTAAGCCTCAATTGAGAACAAGAATCAATCATGTTCCAAGGCATGATAATGGTGGAAAAGTGTCTTTAAGTGAGAACTTGTCAATATTCTCCTATCCTAAATGACCCATAATAAAAAATATTGTGAGGGGAAGATATTTATCAAAAATAAAATTCAGACAAGCATATAATTATGTGTTATTTAACTGCGATGAAATAAGACCTTTTATTTAGTAAGTATACTACTTAACATGTCGATATTTTTGAATAATTTCTCTCTCATAATATCATAAACTAAAACATTATTGAATTCATCTTAAGCAACATCATTAATATTTATTGTTGTAAAACTTACAACTAACTGAATCTTAAATCTTTTGATTATAAGATGAATAGCATTCCACGAGGTTAAGAACACATATAAGTACTATATAATTATTTATATATCTCGAGATACTTAATTTTATTATAAATTTCTTATTAACTATTCATGATTATACTTCATGTACCGAGTTTATCAACCAAAAGGGAATGCTAGTGTTATTGTTGTAATTTCAAGGCGATGTTAGACCAACGAGTACATGATCGGATGACCCATCTTAATGATAAATATAAATGACTCACTATTGATTATAAAGAACTTTTTCAATTGGTAATGGAGATGAGATCTCAAATGCGTGTTCCATGTATACCCCTTAATTGGTCTCACGATATCGACGACGACTAGCCTCTTTCTCTAACACCACCTTTATTTTAGAATTATTGTATTTAAACATACAAATGTTTAAATTTATAATAAATATTTGATTTTTATATTAATTTATATTATTTTAATTATTTTTTCACATCTTTTCAATATTTTTTTAAATATTATTGATAAGGTTACCGATGGCACAACTTTGTTGGTATATTTCATAGAGTTGAAAAAGAATTACTACAAATATCATTATTATTGATGGAGTTATTGACAGAACTAAATCGTTTGTATATTCGAGAGAGTTGAAAAAGAATTACTGCAAATATCACTGCTACTGTTAATGTATCGATATAATTACATATAGTATTCTATTAGTGATATGTTATATTTACTAATGAATATATCGACTGAATAAAGCGAGAAATTTTTCTTGGCACACTTTATTTGTCTGTATATATATCAATATATTTACTATTGATGGACTCACCAGTAGTCTATAATTATTATTAAGAGTTTTTTGATAGACTGTTTCCATCCATGAGTTTTCCGGTAACTTACGCACTGATGGATTGTTAGTGTAAATACCGATAGAAATT